TACTTCTATTAATTTCTAATTACTTTCTAATTACTTTTTTTAATAATCTTTAGCGCAGACCTTTTAAATGTTTTTATTTTATTGAAAGCTCCTGTGCCTATTTTATTATTTTTTTTATGTGAAAAGTTGCCAAACGAGCAGACGGTTCACCTGACATTAAGTGAATACCGCCGCCCATGGACATCTGCTACATCCGAGAGTTACAGAACCTTTTGGAAATTGGGCTCCGGCTACCTCACTCACCATACGAAACGCGAAAGTATTTGTCATACTTCCACTTTACGCTGGTCTTCTGTGAGGTCGTGGTACTAATCCGGACTGCCTGCCCATTCGTGCAACAGCCGAGCCTGCTGCGTGGCCCTACCACCGTTAATCCGATTAAAATCTTACCAACTTTTGCTTACAGGTCCCTATATAAATCGGTCCTGAGGAGTGTCATCCAAAACGACACACTGTCCCGTCAAACCGGTTTTCTTCTAAGTCGTCATAAGCGATCGTTGTCCTTAATTAAGAAAATGTTGGTAGTTTTCTATATTTCAAATATGGTCAATGTATGCTTTATATATTTACCGAACCGAGTCGACGTTCAAAATGACAATTATTCCATGGCTCAGTGTGTTGGTAAGGCAAATTTAATTTAATATACTTACGACCGGTTTCTGAAACATTGATAATTATGATCATTCTGATCAATTCAAAGTGTTTAAACAATCCTATTGGCAACTCAAATATCATTTGAAAAGCCATTTGACAGCTGATTAGTTAACTTCTATGATGATGAGTGTTTCAGAAACCATCAGTTAATTTAAGAATTAATCATTTTTATTCTTAAAGTAAATATCGACCATTCTTTTCTAGGTATAACACCACTTTCAACATCACCGAAAAAAGAAATATGTCAAGCATTGATTTTCACGCTAGAAGTCACCTTAGTGACTATTGTACTTAACTATCAGGCTTTGCTATTGTTCTTAATCGCTCACACAACAGCTATGTACAAATTAATGGCTGAAGATATCACGGCTTTCGACAACGACGAATATAGATGTAATGTTGTAGTAAAAGACAAGTTGCAGTCTTTAATTCAACGTCATTATCTCACATTGCATACTGTTGATGGCCTTAAATCGCTCTATAGCATGCCTATAGGAATAAACTTCGGTTCAAACGCCGTTTGTATGTGCTTATTCTTTTATTTGCCTTTCCAAGATTGGATTAAATTCGTGCCAGTGTTAATGTATTGCTTCTTAGTGTACTTTCTGTACTGTTTCTTGTGTCAAAGGTTGATAAACGCCTCGGAGGAATTTGAAAGAGCGGTCTACTGCTGCGGATGGGAAATTTTGGTTTGAAAGAAATGAAAATGATATACATCATATATATGCACGCTCAGAAGCCTGTGGAATTACTGGCTGCCAACATAATTCCGGTCAACATTTATACTTTTGCCACGTCATTGCAAGCGATGTTTAAATTTGTGACAGTTGTGAAATTTTAAATTACCTTTTCAGATTAGATTATTAGTTACATATTATAATACTACACTTATTTATCATTCGTTGAATACATTCAAAAATTAAGTATTTTGCTTGTAAATTAATAAAATAATTAAAAATAATTTATTGCATACTCTTAATAATGATGCAATCGTAAGTTTGTTTTTTTATTTAATTCCAATTCCTCAAACATTGATTTCATTAAAAAAAATTCCTCCATTTTGTTATTCGTTCCTAGTTTGTGAAAACCTCACGTCGAGTCAACTTCTTCTTCTGTCTTATTCTTATTCTTAATTTTTCATCCTTTTTGGCACAGTGCTTTGTTTATACGGCCAAACATACACCCATTTGTATTAAGCAATGCAGTAAGGTAACCAACCAATGGCCCTTACTTGAGACAAGGTTGCAACCCGAGGCAGGATCGACGAAGTACATACACATGTATAGCGTGTTTGGCGCTGAACTACAGTGAAAAAGTTAATAAGAAAAATATTGGGTTATTAATTAGAATAATCACTTTTAAAAAACGTGAAATACGTGTATACTGCCTATCCGCGGACTTTGCCAAGCACTGGAACATTTGTGAGCCTTTAATAATAGCTGAAATATACTTTTCTCTCCAGGCCACTGTTAGCCTGTTTTAAATGAGGTTTTCAAAAATGATGAGATGTTAAAACAGAATTTTGCATCGAAGAGGCAACGCGAATTGATCGCGGTGATCAAAAAAATGTTGCTAATATTTTATGGTTTCAACCTGATCCATGAATTTTGTTTTGATTTTTTTTTAATTAAAATTTTTAGATATTGATACGCCTTCAAAGTCTCCAAAACGAAAAATCTGCCAAGCCATATTTTGCGTGCAAGAAATCACAATAATATTCGTGGTTCTAAATTACCAGGCACTGTTAATAATCTTGATAACCTTAAATCTCCTGGAAATACTGCCTGCTAACGTAATTCCAGTAAATGTTTAATCTTTCGCTTTAACGTTGTAGTAAATTTTAAAATTCGTAGCGGTTGTCAAATTTAATTCTTTATAGAAAACAAAACGATGTCCTTTGTTTTTTTATAAAATACATTATAGAGTTTTTGATGTGTTGACCACGGTGGCGGTATTTGTAGGTGTATACGATTCTACAATATATATTATACCATCCTTTAAACGGAAAGAGCTAAAATATATGGAATTTACGTTATTTAAAACAGCGAAATCAATTTGCGCGTTTACATTTTAAACCCCTTCTGCATAACAAAATTGTACAAAAAATGTATAACCAAAAAGTTGATGGTGACTGAGATTATCACGTAAAACAAGTCATTCGGTCCTATGACTGTCACGATAACGGATGCTATAAAGTATTCCTAATGTCGGGAACTGAGTAAAAAAAATTAAGCACGATAAATTATCTTATTTAACTAGGTGTGAAAAAGATTGTTCTCTTTCTATACCGAATTAATTTTGTTTTCATTATAATCATTTCAGCCTGTTTGAGTCCACTGCTGAACAGAGGCCTCCCGTACAGACTGCCGCGAAGCACGATCCTCAGTCACCTGCATCCATCGTTTGGATTGGATGTCATAAACTTATTAGAACAAGTTGTAAATTCAAGTTCAAATTCTGTACATAATTTACTAGACTAAATCCTCCTAAAAAGTGTGAACTGAGTATTAACGGGTCGTAACAAAATGTTGTGAAGTGAACGATTAAATCAAACCACTTCACAAAATGTAGAAAAGGAAGGTCAGTGGTAACGGCCGACCGTGAAGACATTCTAATTTATTACAAAACACATGTTGCTGTTGCTGTTGGCAATTATGATATTTATTTATATAACTCTATGAGTAATTAAATTATTTATTGACAATTTTAAAATAGCTGTTTATACATATCAGACAGAAATAATATTTTTAAAGCGCCTTTAAAAATGTAAATGTTCAGTAAGATAAATTGGGGATAGATTAATTATTTATCAAAGTTAATTTTGGAAAGCACAATTCTTATTAGTCCAACCAGGTCAGGAACCCGGCACACACAAACTTATTAATTTCTTACTGCTCTCCGGGTGCACGACGATGCGCCCAGTGTCGAATCTTTCGAAGAGTTTGCCGGCATCTTTAAGTAGTACAATCGGCCGATAGGAAAGCGAGTCAATGGGACGCCCTTTCTTCCAGATCAAGACGAGTCTGCCTGTCTTCGTCTTTTGTGGAATTAATCCGGATGGATGCAGGTGGCTTAAGATCGTGCTTCTGGCAGTCTGTGGGGGATGATAGGCATCCCGACGATGATGATTGTACAGCCTATTTTAAGTAATTTTTTTGTTTTAAACTATTTCGTGTCTTGTTCTCTGCAATTAATTCATAAATGCAACTGCTACGATCCTTCTACCATATTCCTAATCAATGCGAAAAAAACTACAATTACCAATCATTTCCGATTGTTATTGTATTCTTGTCATTGCAAATACTGTTTTTATTATTTTATGATTGTACACAATATTGAGTTGTCGCATTCTTTTGCAACATACGACCGAACCTTACCACTTATTTACAGAAACGCTAAAATATATATAATGTAGCCGAATAATGTTGCAATAATAAACTTACTTTAAAGTGTAGCAAAGATTGCTACATTTCTTTTCATGTACGTTCACTAAACGGTCCTATGCATTTTATTTTTCTCTTTTCCTACTAAATAATGAACATTTAATATGACACAAGTTAAAAGGAATTGAAATATTCCCATGAACGGTGAGCGGGTTTGAAACATCGGGAAATAAAATTAAAATTAAAGGAGATAAATCCGTAAAAAATATTTTTCGGTTTAGTTATATTTTTAAGTAGCATTGAATAATACAACTGTTACTATTACTAATAGTTTTGAACGTCAGAAATTAAAATTAAAATAAATCTCTACATATCTTCGAAATAGACATTCCTTAATAGTTAAAAAGTCGAATATACACATATATAAATAGTCCGAAATAATAAAGGGATAAGAATAAATATGCAAGATCAATTTCGAAAGCCGAGCTGCTGTATAAATTACGAGATCGAATGTGGATTAAGCACTATGCGGTTGAACTTGACCAAAAAATAAAAAAAATAGATACAGAGCACTCCTACGAATCCTAACGATAAAATTCTTTTTAAATTATTCATACAAATATAACCCACGGGTAGTGATCTTAAAATACTATTAAGCAAATAGGTTAGTGATCTTAAAATACTAGCAAACAAATTTCCTATCCGCTGGGCATCAGTCGGTATGCCTTTCGAACGAGAAGCATACGGTGGAAATGCTTCCAATCGCGAAGAACCGGCTACGCTAGTTTGACACGAAACGCCAGCGGAACAGCCGTGTTGTTAATTCCCTCTCGTTTTTATTTATCAACTAGTAAAACTTGCAAAGTGCGCTCTGAACGGTCAATAACATTACATTCTCCTAAAGGGAATTTTACAATGGAAAACGTTTGCGTTTAGTATTACAATATTTTTTTGATAGTCATAATGAAGTTATTAGTTTGTTGTTTAATTATTATTGCTAACGTGAGCAACAATGGCAAAGCGTCAATCGAGAATATTGTGCCGTCGAACACAAATATTCTTTTACCTGACACAACAAAATCTTCAGGTAAATATTACGTTAAAATATAGCATTTTGTTACTTTCCAACAATTTTGTAATTGAGTTGCCGTTGAATAGATTGTTTGTATTTAGTTTTAATAATAAAATAATGGCTGTTGCACAAGACAACATAAATGTTGTTTAGAAATTTTGCTGCTTATTTCGAAACATTCGCAGACAAGTCGTGCTACCGGCCTTGCAAGTTCAACGTGAAACCTAGGCGATGTCAATATAATTTCAAAATAGAACCAACATTGGAAGATGACGGAAGGCCAGCCATTGTTGTTAATGGAATGACTCCTGGGCCCTCGATACATGTTTGCCTGAACGACATAGTTGTTGTCAAAGTACATAATAAAGTCCCTGGCCAAGATTTGACTTTGCATTGGCACGGAATAGATCAGAAAGGGACTCCGTACATGGATGGCGTGCCAATGGTGACCCAGTGTCCTATTGGCTTTGGTTCCATATTTCAGTATGCATTCGTTGCATCATCACCAGGGACGTTATTTTATCACGCAGATTCAGGTGTGTATTTCATTGGATATTTTTATTTATTAACTACGAGTGACTGGTATGTCATGTTACATTTCGAAGAAAATAATTCTGCTATGTTGACGAATGTTCAAAGGTGTTTTTATTTTACTTTTTAATTTGTAGATTTTTTTATTTAAAAATGTGTTAATTATATTTATTATAATACAAATAGTTTATTACGGTATGCATTTACTTTATTTCTAATATAATGACAAGTTTTTTGTTTAATTGTTATAACTTACTATATTTACACAAGATGGCGTCTCGTACAAATATATTTATGAAGTAATTAAAGACGGATTTTATTTCTCGTAAAATATGATGTTGAATTTCATCAATGTAAAATTTTACAACCTATTAACATTTCCTGAGCACAAATGGATATGATTGAATATCAACTTATAGTTATTGGTAAGGTAACTCTAAAAGTCTTATTAGAAAATGTAATGCTGATGCCTACTTCCATCCGTTATCTGATGTAAATTGTTGAAGAGTTGAAGAGTTGGATTTAAGAAATAATCTTAATTGAGATAAACGCGTAAAAAATTAATTCATGTGTAATTATTCTATATTTTCCTTTCTGATGTTTATGCAATTGTTTATCATTTTAACATCATCCTTCTTCATAACTTCATTAGAATTAGAAATATTTAGATGAATTATTCCTTAGTTGATCCCAGTATACATCTACGTCTCGATCTATTTGATTAATTTACTTTGCGCTTAACGAACGATTTCAATATTCTATCTATCAGTAGATTTGGTTACTGGAGTATTGAATTTTGAAATAAGTATTATGGAGCTATTTTCAAATACCTATTCCTAACCAAATTTACAGTTAGATAGAATATAGGAACCAGCCGTAAACCGACATCCATCTGAACTATTGAAGCATTTTATTTTGGGATTTATTAATTTATTTTAAAATCATTTCCAGTGAACCATCACAGCGATGGTGTTTACGGTTCTCTTATCGTGGATCAGCCTCAACCCTTGGAACCACATGCGTCATTATACGATTTCGACAAAAGCAAAGAAAACACTCTAACAATAGGCGCGAGGTTTTCTGCACTGCTGACGGGAAACTCAGTGAAAAACATGAAACCGGATTCACTCGTAATAAATGGGAAAGGGAAGAGTTCTAAGTAAGTACCGATTTCCAATATGTATCCTACTTTAAAGTCATAATACTTTAAAGTATTAAGTAAATATTAATTTAGTTATTTTGCGATGACGAAATTGTCAATTTTAAGTGCTCAATTATCACGTGCTCAACGGTGAAGAAAAACATCGTGAGGAAACCATCACATTTTTTAAATAATGACAAAAATTTTGATGATACCTGAAGTCTCTCAATCCGCGTGGTGGAATAAGCGCTAACACCCTTTGTACAGAGGCGGCCTTTGCTCAGGAGTTGGAATATATATGCTGTTATTTTAATATCTTATTTTATTGCGCAATTCAGTGAAAATCGATTCTTGTCTAGCTAGGATATGTAGTTATAATAAAAAAAAAGTAGTAAAATTTGTATATACCGTAATACGAATATAAATTAATATAAGCATATAAAAGAGCCGTGATAGCTCAGTGTCCGTTCGCTCGTCTTTAATTCAATATACTCGAGCAACCTGAGTACGATCCCCGATGCCGGCACCAATGAAGTTATTAACTTTAAATGCTGACTTATCACGATACAGGATGCCTCAGCAGTGGGACATGAATAGGCTGTTACTTCACTTTTTTATACAATTCAACCAGACGAAAGCCCAAGACAAAGAGACCGAAACAACCAACGGTTAGAGGAAAAGGGAAAGCAACCGCCTTACTATGTTTACCAGCATTGCTTTCTGTATTTGAGCTCGAAGCAATTTATCTCAGCGTCTAATTATAGCGTATACTTATAGATTTTATAAGGAAGAACAGATTGCCTTAACATATTTTTAAATTATTTTAACTCGAGTTAATAGATACGCCAAATTATGGACGATTTGTTCTGATTTCTCTCTGTCAAATGTACGATTAAGACAAATTTCAATTGTATTATGTAGGAAAAGCAGTGAAAGGGAAAGCTTCTTCATTAGAATCTAAACTCAATCAAATACGTCGAAATATTACCTAACTTTTACGTATCTATGACTTGATTTCGAAAAAATGAAATAATTTATAAAATTTGCTGTATTATATAGGAAAAGCAGTGAAAGTGTGAAAGCTTCTTCGTTGATTGTAGATGGAATATAAATTTATTATTCAAACAAATGCCTCAACAAATATTCCATAACTATTACGTATGACAAAATGGGTTTTACTTTTAAAAATGTGTATGAAACCTAAGATTTTCCTGAGATAACAAGGGTTTTATTTTTAAAAATGAAACCTATAATTTTCCAATAACAATGTATGCTGAAAGCCATATTCAAATAACTTCTTTAACAGTCCATTGATAGAATCAAAAGACTGTTAAAGAAAATATTTGATTTTTTATGCAGATTAGATACATTTCAAACTAGCTGCCCGCGACTACGTCTGCGTAGAATAGGCTGAAGGTGTAACATTAAGATAGAAAGACAGATATACATAAAATATGTATATAAAGTATAGCCTATGTCTTGTTCTGATGTATAAGCTATATTACTGTAAAGTTTCATCAAAATCCATTCAGTAATATTTGCGTGAAAGAGTAACAAACATCCTGTATGGATGCTTTATAATATTAATAAGGATTATGTATATAAACGTAAATAACTTATATGACAAAATATAAGGTACTAAGCTAAGACGACTGTATGGCAGAATATACAACTTCTAAAAAGCTCTTGCAAACACATCGTATAGAACTGAACTCAATAAGTCTTCTTTTTACTTTCCAGAATATTTGTTATACCGGGCTATCACTACAGGCTGAGATTGATCAACGCCATTGCGGTTCAATGCCCTTTGATTATTGACATAGACCAGCACAGCGTGATCGCAATAGCAAGTGACGGTAAACCAGTAAAGCCAGTGTCAACCAATAGCGTGTTGCTATATCCAGGTATTTAATCAGAGCGAAATTCGTAATAAATATATTCAACATATTTCATCAGATTGTGTGTATGGATGTCTGACATAGAATTATTAAATTCTATGTCAATACATCCATAGACTACATGTATTAACATATCTTTAAATTATGTAAATATAAATTCTATCATTGTCTTGTTATCATACATTCGTGTGTTATTGTTGCTGATCTTCACCTTGAGTATATTTTCATAATTCATGAAATCAGCTTACGAATATTTCCATTTCGATGCAAAAAAAAAAGAACGCTTTTCTCTGGATTTGCTTCAGGCGTGTAAGGTTGTAATAGATGATAATTAAAAAAGTAAAGTTAGGTCTATTCCAAACTAGCGATCCTCTAAAATTATAGTGTTTCTCTAGTATATCATGTATGAATTATAGACAAAAACCTTCCTCATGAATCACTCTATCTATTAAAGAAACGGCATCAAAAACCGTTGAGTAGTTTTATAGATATATGCTTAGTATATATAGGGACATACAGACAGCGGGACGTCTTTGTTTTATTCTACCTTTGAATTGATTCACTTCGATAAGATATAAAAGAGCTATGAATCACGTTTACCTTGTGGGAGGGAAGCAATGAAAATGAAAGGAACTCTCTACCAGTTAGAGCCATAGTTGTGTGACACGCATGTTGAAAGACCTTTAAGGAAGCTACAAAAATAGGGTACACGGCAGATTGCCTTTGCGACACTTGTTCATGCTAACAGGCATGGCGTAAGTATAACATGTAATTTAAAATATAATACCAACGTTGGACAGATTACAGTTATATGATTATATAACGTGACAAAAACTTGTTATTATGGGTTAATGTATTATGTTCTTTTGTAGTCGTCAATTGTTTGCATCGTATTCCGCTTCATACGAGCAATTTTATACAGACTTTATGAGAGAAAGGGAAACGGTATTGGCAACAGAGTACAGGAAAGTCATTCCATTACTCGACATTCAAAGAAACTGTATACTTATGTTGTTTTATGTTGGTAGCGAGTATCTAACAAGTTGAAAATCCATTTTGGAATTGTTAACACCGCATTCATTCTGAGGCTATGAGTGAAAGTTCGTAGAAAAGCAAAGTTAGCATGATTTGACCATAGTTCGGCAGACGCTAACAGTATTGTTTTGAAAAATGTTTGAGAGAAATATTTTTTTATATGTTTACATAGTGTGGGTTTATGATCGAACGTTATGGCTTAAATGTAATGAAAAAACCGCTTCGTCGATTTCAAGAGAGAGGAGAAAGGTGCGGTATTCATGATGTACTATTTGTACACTCGAGAATACAGTTTAAGGTCACTGTCACGACCAGTTCCGCGTCAGTTAATTTCACTTTCTACTTTGTAACATTTATATGTAATTTAATAGAATGAAAAAAACATTTTACAACGTAATATGTTAAGCTAGATTTATCATATCCATTCGCTGTTTGTTATTTTAATGATTGGCCGCGCACATTATTTTATTTCTAATAATTATTATTAATTTATTTCTATTGGTGGTTTCGATTCGTATTTCACTCAATTAAAAAAAAAAAAAACAATTTCCAGATATTCTGTTTAAAATATGTGATTAAAAGAATGATTTCGGTCGGTCAGGATACAATCTGTTGAAGTGCTTTCAAATTATGATTATTGTAATTCAGGAAATAATTTTGTTTACCAATGTCTTAAATAAGAGATATCGGAGTTATTTGTTTTAAAGAAGTTTTATGGAAAGATTGATTTCACTTCTATTTTTTTTCCTGTGATAAAGTGGCAAACGAGTTGACCGTTCACCTGATGTTAAGTGATAACCGCCGCTCATGTAAATTTGCAATACCCGTAGGGTTGCAGATGGCGTTGTCACCTTTTAATAAAGTGGGCCCCGGCTACCGCACTCACCAGACGAAACGCAGAAGTGTAACACTTCTACTTCACGCTGGTCTTCTGTGAGGTCGTGGTACTAGCCCGGACGATCGTGGAATAGCGAACACTGTTGCGTGGCCCTAACGCAGTTAAGTTTTGAACATCTAATTTCAGGTGAACGAATGGACGTAATTGTGGAGGCGGCTCGTGAGGGCGGCGGCTATTGGTTGAACGTCCGTGGATTTGATGCATGTGAAGGACTGAGTTGTCACGGCATGCTAATTTATTCCGGCTTCAATTATACTTCCTTGTTAGAACAGGACCCAGTAAGACACATCATTTTAATAATACTTGTATTAGTCTACTAAGGGGTCGAAATTTAACAATCATTATCATCGTCATCGTGTCAGCCTGTTCTAGTCCACTGTTGAACAAAGGTCTTCTCCACCGCTGCCATAATTTATAGAATTAGTTATTTTAATCAATTTGACCTTTTAAAGGCCTGAATGGTCTTCAAACCATTCCTTTTTCTCGTTTGTTTGACATTCATCTTATCCTTTAAACCAGTAATTCTCGTATATATATATATATATATATATATCTCGGAAACGGCTCCAGCTACTTTCATGAAATTTAGTAGGGGAGATTCGGGGGCGAAAAATCGATCGGGCTAGGTTTCAGTTAGTTAGTTTAGTGTTATAATAGCTCCGCCGGTAATCGGGCGGCCCCGAAATAGAAGGCCGCGGTTCGTATCACGATCATTTACACACTTATTTTGAAAATTTTCTTAACATGAAATGTGTAAATGAAAGGTTAAAGTTTTCTTAACATAATTAAAACTTCTTAGAAAGAATGTATGATAATGCCACGTATAAACAGTTTATTTCAATGAAAGATCGCGAAGTAGACTGAATTTACTGATATTCTCTGAATTAAGATTGATGAATACTTATTTGCACATTATAATGTTACCATTCGGTGACTGATCGGTACTGTGAAAATTTAACACGGGTCAACCAGTACATTACAAATGTCAAAATTATCGTATTATCAATATTTTGTCCAAAACTCGTTTGTTCCATAAAAGTTATGTAAATGTAATTTTTGAGTTATTTGTGTTGGAAATTTTTATATTTCTTAAATTTTTATATAATCCTTTACTGAAGTAGGATTATCGCAGAAAAAATAAATAAAATAAATAATACCAAACCCAAGTATAAATAGACACTAATTCTTTTACCGCATGCTTTTAAAACCTATAGAAATATGTTTTACTTTACCTTTTTACTTAACAATAATCATTCAAATGGTACTAGTAAGTAGTAAAAACTTAACGATTATTAATTTTTTACAATTCCTATTACTTAATATGCAATATTTTGTGTTATGTACCAAGACTTCACGTGCTATTTAATATAATTTCAGACACTGAGCAGCGCTGTAGTAACAAATATTGAAAGCGTACTTCATGGTCAAAAAATGTTGTCACTTCGGGATCAAAGCCCAGTCAAGGACGTTAAAACCACATATTTAGGTATCGATCGCAATGTTATTGCATTCAAAGACGCTGATAACGATTATCGGTATTTGAGCGACGTTGTTCCAAAGAAAAATTACTATCCCGCCGCTTTATGTAAGTAGCTTTCATACTATTCATGTTTCTAACTACTGCAATAGAAAGTGAAATAGTTCATCAATACACGGTAATTCCTTTTATATTTATAATAAATAAATATTTTTAACGGATATGTTGTATTTACAAATAGAATGTAATTAATTTTTAAATTAATATGCCGAGATTGTAAATTATTATTTAATAACAAAACTGATATTGTTTTATTACGTTCGTTATATTTCTATGTAACGTGTTTATTAAGAGTAATAATTACATATTTACAATGAATGAAAATAAGCAGGCATTATTTTGTTTATTAATATTGATTTGTAATTATTTTTTTATATTCCAGCAATACAGGATATTGGTGTCGTGCAAATTAATAACAAAAATTTCCTCTATCCAAATGAAATGTATCTTCTTAAATCGCGTAACTTAAAGCAAGAAACAATTTGTAATGTAGGCGAGGAAAAAAATAATAAGCAGCTTCAATGTTTACAAGTTTTAAAAAGTCGTAAACAGAATGTTCTAGAATTGGCTATCCTTAACGAAGGTAATTAGGTTAACAGAATAGTGTGCCTGTTTAGGTTAAATAATAATGATATACGTTTTATTAAATTGAAATTTTATTTATCTTATGCTTTCTAATTAAAGGTTTTGGCAGTAATGATTCGTACTCGTTTCATATGCATGGCTATTCCGTAGAAGTTGTCGCTACAGGGAAAACAGCAGATGGAAAGCCAATTTCAAAAAAAGAATTTCAAATACTCGATCGAAAGGGTGGAATAGAGAGGTATGTTTAATCAATAGCAAGAGTTTGTATTTTGTGTCGTTTGAGGTTGTACTTTATATTATGTCATTACTGAATAGCTGTGTTACAATACATGTAATTCATAACGTGAAAAAAAGAACACTATCAATTTCAAAAATAAGTGTCGTGAATTCCATTAAAACCTCCTGCACTTATTCCACCTTTGTGGGGTCGGTACAAATGTGTGAATCATTTCGTTAATAGATTCGCGCCTAGGTATTTTTAAGACCGGCTGCCTTCTTGATGTCGACTCTCTTTAAGAATTTATATCTCTTTAAGAAAGTATTTCAGATTTAGAACAATTGTACTTTTTTTATTTAAGAAATTGGCAAAAGAGCTAGCGGTTCACCTGATGTTAAGTGATAACCGTCGCCCATGGACATTAGCAATTTCCGTAGGGTTGCAAATGCGTTGCCACCTTTAAATAAAGTGGGCCCCGGCTACCGCACTCACCAAACGAAACGCAGAAGTGTAACACTTCTACTTTACGTCGGTCTTCTGTGAGGTCGTGGTACTTACCCGGACGGACCTGCCCATTCGCGCAACACTGTTGCGTGGTCCTACCACCTTAACTACCGTAATATGGGAATCGAACTCATGAGGGTAACGAATATCATCACCGAGAGTTCTAATAAAGTAAATTTTAATAATAATTATGAAACTGAACTATATTTCAGAAATCTAAGAAATCCACCCTTGAAGGACACATTTGTCGTACCGAATAAAGGCTATACGATAGTGAGGTTAAAGCCAGATCGCGGTGGGAGCTGGATGCTAGAATGCAGAGCCTGCAGTTCCTTCTCGTTACCTGTAGCCATTCTCATCGACGTGCCTCTATCGATTCCAAAAGCAGTCGTTCAAGCGTTACCAAAATGCGGTAGTTATAAGCCCGCTGATGTTCTTTTAAATTAAACAAGAAGAATAGACTGAAACTAGATATAATTTTATATGTATTATTTAATGTAATGTTGTATTATTAGAGTTGACATTAATGTGATGTTTTATTTTGATGTGATTATTTTTTTTAAAACCTTGTTTGTATATAGTTTATAAAATGCATATTATAATGATAGAAATTTTACGTTGAAATCAGAGCATAATATATGGCTAAATTTTATAATTTATAAATATAAAATAATAACACTTTAAAAATTAAAGTTTAAGCCTCCTAGAGATTCATGTAAAATGTGTAAATATAACATTTTTAGGTTAGAGAGTAAAGATGTATAAAACCGTGCCCTGATCTTCATGTACTTCTTCGCAATATATCAATCTGAATAAAAATCTCGTTACATTGTAATTTGAATTCATATTCTTCTAAGTTGTATTCGTCATGATCTCTTACATAAAAATTTTTACTGTTAACCGTCCGAATCACAATTTTAGCTACTTACTCATATGTTCATTTATGAAATCTAGGTATGCTGAAACATTTGTATACACAGTTGGCGCTCCAGTTTCACCGCATGGTGACATCCCCCACGAGACTATACCGAGTATCACGGATGTAACATTGTCATAACCACTGTCTACAGACACGCCTTCACTAGAATCGTTATCCTTCGTGTCGTTTGTCCAACTAGTATTGTTTACATTAAGAACCAAAGGCCCTCCCGAGTCACCACTGCAAGCCGCGATGCCACCAGTAATAGGCCCTGTGCAAATATTAGCTTCCTCATCCAGAGGATTGATTTCATCGTCATCCTTGACTTCTTCTACTGCTTTATAACAGCCTGAAAAATTAAAATGTTAAGATGAAGTGTATTAAAATTGGTAGTTCATTCGTTATTGCTCTATTTAATTTAAATAATTTTTACCATCGTATGGAAGATACGTCACTTCAACTTCTTGTAATTTTTCTGGTAAGTCCAACATGAATATACTTGTTCTTAGAACGCCCCATCCAGATAACGTTAGATTTCCTTGGTCAAATCTTAAGTCATGGGGTAAACTTATTGGCTGTATTTCCCGTGTAAATTTAAAGGGTGTTAGTGTACGCAGCATCGCTATATCATGAGGTCCGATTCCTCTAAAATTAATCATATATTGATTAATGTATACAAATATTTGATTTAAATTTAATTAAAAAAAGTTGTAATAGATATTCTCAAACATTAAAAAATCTCCTACCCGTTATAGCTTGGATGTGGAATTTGTTTAATAATGGTCCTTATTTGAGCTTTTGTCCCAAAGAAATAATTATCATGAATTCCCGCAATAGCATCCAAGGGCAACCATTTTGTTATAAACGATTCCGTGATACAATGAGCAGCTGTTAATACCTGAAAAATTATATGAGAATAAAATCATATTTCTTATTGTCAAGCAATACTTTTACTACTTAGAATTACTTTTTAATTCTATCGAATACGAAAACCGCATAAAATGTATGTAACAATATGTATTCTACCTATAGAGATATGAACTACTTATTACTGTAATTATTTGCTAGTAACCAATTTATAATTTTTTAGTAAATTTATTTAAAAAAAGCAGGTTTCGTGACGTAAATAAAATGTACCCAATTCTCGCTTATGATTGTTGCACCGCAAATGTGTAGTCGTAACCAGAGAAATCTCTTTTGAAGTGAAACCATGTAAGGGTGACTGTGGGGTCCGGCTTCATGACCTCCAATAAGCCTCGGTTGCAACTTTATGGGGTATTGAGCTGAAAGTTTATTTCATGAAATGGTCTTGCTTTAAATTAATATTCCCTATACCAATTAATTAATAAAATTTACTAATTCTGAAAATTGTGGGAACTTCATAATTTCCATAATTCTTCAATAAATTTAATGATTCAAATACCATTTCAAACTTAATGCGCATATTGACTAAAAATGGAACAATAGAATAAAATTAATGTTGTGATAAAAATATATTTTAAAGAATTTATGATAATGCGATCCATTGACAATTTATTTAAATGAAAGATAGCGAAGTAGACTGTTAAAAATTATGTTAATGTCTGTCGCATAACGAATAAGTTTTGTTACTAACATTTTTCATAGGTATATTTATTGTATACATAATTAAACAAACATTAAAACAATTATTGCAAAATACGCCTCACAAACGAAAAGAATATTCACCTGCATGAATGTTCGATGAACATAGAAGAAAAATAATGGGTAAAAAGAACATAGTGTAAACAGTTGTAGATTTTATGCAAATACGGGTGTCGGTTATTTATACCATCACTGCACTCAATTATCATATTACAATTCACAGGCAACAGATGTCTCAAACAAATGGATTTAGAATATATTTTTGTAAATATATTATTCCAAACAGCCAGGTAAGGCCAGCTGATTTTGTAAAATATCTAGTTGTGTTTGTGTACTTTGTACTTTTGTTAGAATTCAGTAGATCGACGCTTTTTGGTTTCTGTAATTTTATAAATAAATTGTCTTTTTGCTCATAAACTGGCCAGTGCTGAACTTCTATAATCATCATTATCATTTCAGCCTGTTGGAGTTCTCTGTTGAATATATATTTTTTATTAAAACATTACCCTTACTTTAGGATAACATTATCCTGTGTTGTAAGGACATTTTACAACCATAAATCTCACGTGGACAAACACCCAGACCCGAAGCAAATTATTTGTGGGTCACACAAATATTCATCATTACATTATGTAATTAACTTTAGGTATTTTTTTAATTTATTTATTTAATCTTTATTGCCAATCTTCAGTAAAACTAGGTAATAAATGGGGGACTTAGTGCCCAAAGGCATTCTCTACCATTCAACCCAGAATGTGGTGCAGCAAAAGATGCAAGAATAAAAAGATATTGAGAATAAATATGAAAATAACAATAAGAAATATATAGTAGCATAGCATTTATTATAATTGGATACATATAATATACATGGTGGCTTTTCTAAAGGTACCTAAATTCACACAGGAGGTTTAGACTCGTTAGTATAATCTTTTATTGAAATAAAAACAAACTTTTTTTTTTCAAAAAGATTGCCATTCTCTTCCCTAAAAAACAGAACTTGTTGACATTGCAGTACTTATTCATAAATGCGTCGTATACATTTAAAACGAACCTGTGTGCGTGTTAGTTATGAATGATCGCGCGTAAGATAAATGAAATGCCCATAAATCACACACTTTTGAGATAAGTTACAATGAATGTTATTGATTAATTACGAGTGATTTTAAATATTTATTATTTTTGTACAACATTATTTGTGTAGAATTTAATAAAAAATGGATACACATAAAAAAGCCTCTCTTTCTTCCTTAGAAAAAGTGGCAGTATGCGGCTTATTTCGGTAACGTATACACTCCAATTCAATGTATTGTCAATAAGCATACCTAGATTTTTTAGCACATTTGAAAAAAGAATTATTATATTATTGTATTATATATTTAATTTTAATATCGCATTATGGAGGTCATCTATATCGGCTTTCTTCTTATTGAAGATCGTTAGCTTACAAATGGCACGAACAGTTCAAAAGAGCAGTGAGAAAGTTAATAAAAATTGAAAAAATATGGGAGATAGTATGGCGCCTTGTGGCACGCCAGATTCAACATCATGCCAAGCTGAGCTTGTTGCCCCAAGGTGAATGACTGCTGACGCCCAGGAAGGTAAGATGAGAACCATTCCACAGCAGAGTCTGTAAAATTAAAATGGGAGAGCGTGGAGAGGAGTATATCATCGTCGACTGAGCTAAAAACGTTTGAAAAATCAACAAGCACCAAGGAGATAACTACCTTTTTATCTTCCATGCCTTGCCTAATGTCATTGGTAACTTTGATTAAGGCTGTGGTAGTGCTGTGGCCACATCGAAAACCAGACTGATAGGTACTCAGTAGGTTATGTATATTTAAAAATATGGAGATTTGCTTCTGAACACAGGCTTCCAGAATTTTTGACAGAAAAGGCAGAATTGATATTGGAGAATCGGAATCGGAATCGAGGGAAAAGTTAACAATATGGGCGATTGCTGGAAGAAGATGATCTAATAAGGAGACTATCATAAACCTACTGATATCATCACAGCCCATAGCCTTGGACTTAATAGTTAATGCAAACTTCTTAATATCATTTTGATCAACAGGACTGAAATTAAATTGGGGAATGAGATAAGGTTGCGAAGACGCAATGGATGCTATAGCTTGAGAGCGGACTCCAGGGTCGATGGCAGAGGTAGAAGAAAAATGTAGGCTAATAACATGTACTACTAGTAAAGTATTCTTATTTCGTTAGAATTTATTTAATAATTCATGTAAGCTCGCCCTGTTTATGTAGTAATATTTCATAAAACAATACCAAATGTTTACTTCTGCTTAAGGCACATAAAATGTAAATTTGAATACTTTTAATTACTCCTAATTCAACGGTTTCAATGGCTGATTAAAGATTCAGTATTGTACTTAATTTTCCACATACGGGTCATTAGAATGTTGAGTAAGCCAAGTATTTATTTAAACACAAAATTTATTGCTAGTCTATAGAAAGAACAATGCTTTTTGTTTAACGATTAATGAGATTTTTGTAATTTGAAACGAGTTGGCATCGCCACTTAAAATCAGGTGGGATGGCAGTCAAGCGCTAGCCAGTTTCGAATAATAAAAGAAAACGATAAAGTAAAACTTTCTATATATTTATTTCTCAATGACTACATTTGTTATTATCAAATGTAATTAACACAGGTAAAAATGTAGTACATACTAGTAGACATTCCCTTAATAGGTATCATCTACAATAGTTCATAGGTTAAAGGGGTAATAAAGAAAGCGAATACAGATTTTTAGTGGCATCCCTACCACAGTAGTATATTTTACTTTAAAATGCTACTCTGTGTCAAAACTAACGTAGCTACAAAAATATGTTCACTTAAGCTAGATTGACTTACGTTACGTTGTTCTTATTAAATAACTTGGCCACTTGTGGACTTCATTTGAAGCATGTTGACTTTCTGAGATTGGTGATTATTAAGAGACAACAAGTTTTTGCTAAAGCTCAGTTATTTGTGAATTATGACACGCGTTACAGTTATGTAAGGGTCGTAGAAGTTTTATCAGTCTTATCTTCACATTAAAGTATTGGACAGTACTATTTATAAAGTGCTTTAGATATTTGATACGTTATTAAGTAAACATTTGAAAACAATGTTGAGCAAAGTATGCAAATCTAGCTTAAATGAGGCGCCTGCGATGTCAGCTCAGTACGTTATCCCACAAATAGTGAAAAACATTAATACCACTGTGAATTCAAAGAACCAGGAACTAGTAACGATAATTACAGTTCTCAGTCTTCGACAAGTCAGGGCTTAAAAGTTGGCCTTAAATATTAATTGAACTTAAGACTTAATTATATATTTTCATTTAAAACATCGGCTGTTACAGTTTCAACAGGAATCCGCGAACTAACTTAAATTTATAAGGATTTAATTACGATAAATTCATTAATTAATAAAACTAAAAAACAATTAACAAAAACATAAATCAATATGATGTATAGACTTTACGACTTTCCACGGTAATAAATATTTGCAATACACAAAATAAATTTAAAGGTTAAGTAATAAGTAACAGTAAATGTTTTTAAACTTTGGCCTTCTAGAGTAACGGTTAACTGACTGATATCATTACAACTGATAGAAGATTAGTCGTTACCGGTCAGGGAGTTATTTACAAAAACAAAAATCCATCGCGGGATATGATTTTGTCGTAGATTTTCGACATTCTTGACAGCATATGGCATTTAGGATTGTAGTTCAATCCTCATCGTTCGCAATCAAATGAGTTGTCAGTAGAACCATTGGAACCATTTAGAAGATTGGCTGTGCTATCCAGCTCGTTGTTCTCAATGAAGTACCGGGAAATACGCAGGCGTGATGGCTGGTAAATGATGACCACATCTAGGGAAGTTTGGAGGCACTGGTGGTAGATCACGCTGTGTACCAATATGCAGTATAAGATTCATCCCTATAACTATGTGGAATATGAAGTGGCAGTGGAACAACCAGTAGCCTGAAAAAGATTAAAGAAGAAATTGATAAGCTTTTTGTTCAATGCTGTTATTTTATAGTAGTTAAAGACTATTTTTTTTTACAAATGTTATTATAATGCAAGAGATAATCTTGCATTATAATAACATTTGTTAAAACACATTAAATTTTAACTGCATGGATAAAAAAACTACTACTACAAAACCACTTATACCTGGATTATCAGCTTTCAGTCTTAAAACAACGTAGCCATTGTTTGGCACAGCCAATGTATCCTTAAATGGTGGAAGATTATACTGTCGTTTCAACAGTCCTTTTCTGTCCAAATCTAAGGCATGCTTTAAGTTGATTTTCTTTATGTTTTTATCGGGTGATCTACCCATACCAATGACGTTATATGGCGTTCCATGTAGGTGGAATGGATGCGAAAGATTTGGTGATTGCACTGAAAAAACCAGTCACTCAATTAAAATAACAATTCATCGGTTCTTGTTTAAAAATTAGCAAGTTAATAATTAATAACTAACAGCAGGAAGTCGATTTGTTATATAAGATTTCGTATTTTTGATGTTAGTAATGGAGTAATATGTGCAGATACCGACTCATAAATTAGTTCATCGCCATTTTATGTGCTGGTTTATGTGGTTGATGTTCGGCGGTGACTACTGATATTTAAAAAATCTGTCTCCAGTATTATGTCAAGGCAGGTATTGCCTTTATACATTCCAAAACGAAAGCTTCTGTGATACTTTCAAGCTGTTATTGAAAAAAATTTAAAGAACAATTTTTTAACTCTGGCGATTTAAATTCAAATTGCTCGTTTACGATGAATAAGCATTAATTTCCTTCATTCAAGTTATGATTGACTATGAGAAGTAGCGTGTATCTGTGTGTCCCAGAAGTGCGGTAAGGAGTACATGTGACTGATGTAGATCGGTGTAAATGTATATTTTTGTAATAAAGTGAAGTTTCACTGCTGGGGCTAAGGCCTCCTCTGTATCAGAGAGTGTTGGGGCATAGTCAATCACGCGACCCAACAACGGATTGGCACACATCTTCGAAATATTTTTCTTTTACTATTTCGAAAATATGCAGGTTACCTGACGATGTTTTCCACCAAGTGCTCAAGACAAAAAAGCACTTAAAATTAAAACTGATGCAGGATTTCATCTCAGGTGGCTCGAGTATATGGGAGTTAAAAGTGAGCATCCGAACACTAAGCTATTACGACTCCTGTTTTGTATTTCTTCTGATGGGAAGTGAAACAACCAGGGCCAAGGCTATGAGTGCTGGCAGTGTCTATAGAAGGTGAATCACATGCACGTTTGTTTTATTTCTAATATTATTAAGTCTTACGTCGGGTTTACCTTCATCCACCAACACGATCTCGACAATGGAGTTTAGTGGCACATCAATCATATGGGTGCAGCGGCAATCAACTGGACAGTTGGCAGGCCTGTTGTCGCCATTGCAGAAAAGGTCAGGTGATAGCTCGTGCATTTGTGATAGGGGCGGGGCGGGAGGGGCCATATACGAGATTTCATCAACTAAGCTTAACACGTGATCCCCGCCAGAACCACCAACTGAAGAGAAATAGTTCATTTAGATGATGTGACATGATTGATTACGAATAGCACAAGATCCGCTTCGGTATTAGTACTAAAGCGGCATACTGGGGAGCTAATATTACACAATTAATTCAAATACAGTGTTGTATAATGAAAACGTTAAATTACCTAAAAAGTTTTTATATGTGTTTTCCTGGAAAAGGTCCTTCGGCTTGTAGAAGTGAAAACGGAACGGCAGAAAAATTTTCACATCTGGTCTCTCTTGCAGAATTGCCCTATCCACCGGATTTGCTGCTTTTAGATTACTGACACATACAGCATCGTTCCTTGGTACATCACAAATAGCATCTAGTGGATTTAAAACCTACAAAAATAAATACTGATTAGACAAAGGTCGCATTTAATTGTTTACATAAAAAAAGTTGCATTTTATTTACAAGCATGTAACGTTGCAAAATTGACTTTTAATAAACAAACAAACTGTGCATCATACCTTTCCATACAACTTTTTGTATAATGTGGTAACATTGCTCCTTAATAAATATTTACATAAATATTTATATCGTATTTACACGGTAAATTACAAACGTTAATAAACATTAAATGAGTATGGGCCTTACCGAATGGTCAAAATAAAAATGGCATTTATTTAATAAAATTTATTAAAGTTGTTTAAAATTTACAATTTTCTTAAAATATTAGTGATAAATATAGAATTGCTCGCCCACGCTCACAGCAATTGTAAGTTTACTTGAAATTTAAATGTTTTTTACGTATTATTTTATGATTGCTTAATATTACAATACTACGGCATCTGCTCGCCTGGATTTTTATTCGTTATTTTTAGGGCAAAGTAATGTTGAAGAGGTGTTATGGGATGTAAAGATGTTTTCTGTAGAAATGGTAACAGGGAAGGTAACACTTTTTTGTACTTTGTTATCTTTAAATACGTGGTTAACACAGTCTTTATATTTTGGGTGAAGTTTGTTTCAAAACTAATTTACATATGTGTATTTACAATTATTGCAGTTGTTGAATATTTACATTTTCTACTAAATTTTATGTGGGTTGGGTTCTTAGTCAATGGTAGAGTTACTTAAAAGTCTAAATACATCTATATGGATATCAAATATATACACATAATAAATATCCTTGGTGAAAATATAATGGCAAGTCGTTAGTTTCAGAATAAACACGTTCGTATAAAATAGATACAAAGACACCCGCAGGCGAAAATAACGTTGTACATTAATGAGCCTCGAACAACACGATATTTTAGGCGATACGCTAAAATACGGAAAGTATCACCAAATATGGCATATTATAAAACTGCGATTCACTCAAAAAAAGTATCACCGTCATTTAAATAAAATCACAATCCGTCATGAACTCCTGTTGAACATTCGAACATTCGAATAAAAAAGAAACACAAATGGTAGAATCGAGCACTTCGAATCTACCTGACACATCACACAAAACAAACATATAATTACACTTAGTTAACACAAGAATAATTCAACTGCTGAACCAATTCCTGATGTATGAAAACTGAACTTTTTTGCTAGGAACCGCATTAATTGATGGGAGGGAGGTGATCTCCGCAAGTGGGGAAGTTAGGAGGTATGGGAGGCAGGTCAGCTTGAGTGCCCACTTGGAGCACTACATTCATACCGATGACAATGTGGAATAGGAAGTGACAATGAAGGAGCCAGAAGCCAGGATTGTTAGCCCTAAATCGTAAAATGACGTAGCCATTGTTGGGAACAGCAATGGTATCCTTTGCTGGGGGCAAATCTCCTTGTTTCAGGTGACGTTCAAGCAGACCACGTCTGTCGAGGTCGAGTGCGTGTTTCAAGTTAATTTTCTTCACATTCTGATCTGGTGACCGTCCGATACCAATCACGTTGTAGGCGTACCCGTGTAAGTGGAATGGATGAGAGAGGTTGACAATTTGAACTGTGGAATAGAAATTGAAGATGAATGTAAAACGCTTGCAAAATAACGAAGTGAACAAAGCGCATTGAAGATCAAACAGCGTACCTTCATCTACGAGTACAATTTCCACGACGGCGTTAAGTGGGACGTCAACCTTGTGCGTGCACATGCAATTTTGCCCGCAATTCGCCGGTCTGTTGTCGCCGTTGCAAAACTGTTCAGGGTTTATGTCATCATATTGACTGATAAGTGGTGCCGGTGGGGACATGTACGATATTTCATCTATCAAACTAATAACGTGATCTCCTTGCGGTGCCACTGTAAACATTTAATTAAGTTTTACATTAAGCTGGCTGTGGTGAAGTGAATTATTGATTTTAACAAAACTGTTTCCTTACCTAAAAATCGATTGTACGTATTCGGTTGGAATAACATCTCCGGTCTATAAACGAAGAAACGGAAGGGTAAGAAAATCTTAACGTCAGGCCTTTCCTGGAGTATTGCGGGGTCGATGTGCCTGGCGTTCTTGAGTTGACTGACACAAATTGCATCGGTTCTAGGTATATTACATCTTGCGTCCAATGGATTCATAACCTGAATAGTTAGTGAGGGAAAGATCGTGCAATTACTTGTTCTATGTGCTTCACTAGTCTACTGATATATAACTACATAAAATATTTATACTACTCATATAACTTGAAAGTTAATATGAAGGGAAGTAGGAAAAATATGCGAATGTAATACAAATAGTTCCGTTGTATTGCATATTAGTAATTACTATAACGGCTCCATATCAAAAACGTCATTTTAATGAAATAATAGAGAAAATTCCAAATACTTTAAAAAACCGAAACATTTACAGTGCTGGAAGATTCATCAGAATGTGTCAGTTAGACTTAGCTATGTCTATAGACTGCAATTTATGCCCATTTAAGGTTTGTTACTAACACTACAGTTTGCTATTGATATTTACAATATATTACTACTGTTTGCTACTTTGTACAAAGTAATATGTCGTTTTGTTTGAAATATCGGAGAGTTTAAGTAAGAGACTGCTAAGGATGTATGTTTAAGCAATCTGTTCATACAAACTCGATTAAGCTTAATCGAGGTTGTAATTCCAAGCTCCGAGAAGTCTGTATGCAATATCCGTTAATTATTTATATACTGACACGGGAAGGCGTAAGACATGAGGTGTAAGTGTGAGACCTCCTTTAGAGAATTGAAAGTCAATTCAAGTTATTATTGACCCTTTTGCTATTTACAATATTCATTCATCCATTACATAATATGTATAGTACAATAATAGGATTAATTTACGTACCACTCCTTGTGGGATTCCTACGTCATAGGTAGGTGCAACCGTAGAGGGCTGGTATGGGCCCCTGGCGTAGCGAAGGATACCCAATTGCTGTGCTCGCTTTATACCACATTCTCCAAGACCTCGTACTTGGATCCAATATGCAGCAGGAATGTTGTTAGCTTCAATGACAAAATCGTATCGCTCGCCTGAAGCGCCAATACAACGTCCGATTAAAATATGATTAGAAATACATTTCACTCTTGTATTTATTAAGTAAAAGTTGGAACATAATTCAATTAACATCGCTTCAATTAGCACACCAGTTTGCTTAATAGGTATTATAACATACCTAGCCAAGGCGTGTCTATTGAAATTCCTTATAGCGTGATTATATCGTAAAATCATTACTGATTGTACCACGATAGCGTTGTTAGGTGAAAACGGTATGATAACGTTGTTAAGTAGAGGCTTCGGTTATTACATGAAGTTTTTAATTTGCTTGGGTAATAGTAATTTATTCGAGTAGGATTATCTGTTACTAATTGATCAATACTAGTAGCTATGTAATTTACGCACCAGAAAATGAGATGATAGTGTTGACTTGCACTGGCTGCACTGGTTCTCCGTCTGTCGCAATAACTGTAAGGTTATGGCCTTCAATAGTGAGCTGGGTTGGACAAACTGAAGCGAAGGCATTAATCATCCTAAACCTGTATCTTCTTCCCGGAGTTATTGTGAAAACTTCCAATGGTGTGTTTGTCATGAAGCCTGTATTTGGATCTCTAAATTGTCCTTTACCGTTGATCAAGACTGATTCAGGGTCCTGACCAGTATTGACAGCAAGGCGGCCCGGATACCTTTCGGCGGCATCTTCATGAAGCCAGTCACTTAGCAACATGACATGCGTAGTCAAATCATAATCGTACAGATGACTGTTAGGATCCTTGGATGGAGGTTGACGAACAACAATACTTCCGTATAAACCATCTAATTTTTGAAGACCGGTGTGCGCATGCCAAAAGTGGGTGCCCGCATTACCTTGCCATTGATATCTAAAATTAGGAAAATAGCAATTAACCTAGTTCCACAAAAAAGTTCAAGGAATTCGATCAGTACAAGAAAACGTTATACCTGAATGTGTTCCCTTGTTGAATGGGACATTGGGTTACAAACGGGACACCGTCATAATACTGTGATCCTCTTTGCCAGATACCGTGCCAATGGATGGTTACTTCCATTCCCTCCATGTGATTTTCGACGTCGATGACAACCTTGTCGTTTTCACACACTTGGATAGACGGCCCCGGCAGCATTCGGTTTGCTGTGAGGATACCTCGTTCCACTCCGTCAGCCAACACACATTGGCAGTGAGACCAGACCACATTGGTTGCGTTAGGTGTGCATACTTGGCAAGCGCTGTAATTATTTAATCAATATTAAACGTTTGTATCAGGAATATTTGGAAACTTTTTCCGTATTATTACTATTAGTATTTCAACACAATAGTTTTTCCAGCTCATGGCTGTTCGATGGATCGTGAACGTTTGCCTAACGCTGTCGACACTTATCAATTACAAATGGACTATAATTGAATCGGAGTCATTTGGGGCATTCCATCATTCGTGAATCGAACTAGTTGGAGTGAAGCGAACTGTGAAATTTGCGGAATGCGTATCCAGTAACTTGTTTTCCATGAGCGCTCATGATAGTGGAAACCTCATTACTTGCCTCTTTTCTGTGTTTGTGGAATAACAAATATCTTGTAGCGTCACTTTTGTTTTAAGACGGACCAAGCACATTAGTCAATCGTCATAAGTTGAATAAATTAATGAAAATATTGTCAATAATTATTATTCAGATACTCACGCTCCCAGAACGGTGTACATCTCCAGAGTGAAATGGTAGTAGCAGATTCTTGGCGGTTCTCCCTCCCTGCAAGCCCGCGCGCATTCGTCCGGTGCAGACAGTGCTGGGTTCCTCCTCAGCTCAGCTGTTGCGCTGCTCGTGAAATCCAAGTGCTTTAAGGTGGTCTTGCCGTTCGCACTTTTGGTTAGCGGTGGCAGCGGATTGTTTCGGAAGCTACCACTCAGCGGGCCGCTGCCGCTCGTTTGGGCAAACGGGTTGGGTGAGGGTCCAATTGAGTTCGCAAGGCTGCCAAAAGAAAACCCATCGCTGACAGACGGATGGGTCTGTACAAGCCCGTGAGTGGAGGAGAACGCGCCGTTGCCGTTTTCGTGGAAAGGGGTAGCGGTGCCGGCCTGCCACCATGATGCTGATGTTGACTGGTCGTCCGCAATATTATCCGTTTCTGGAAGTAAAAATGAATGATATAAAAAATTACTCTGCATTCAAGATGTTGCATTATTCCTACAACATGTTGATATTTCATTGAGCATAAACACGGATAATCTCAACGGTGGTTTAATAAAAATGACGCTTGTATAATATATAAGTGACATAATATACAAGTTTTTGTGACAGATAATATAGAAAGTATGTATGATACGGAATGATATAGAGACAATCTATAGAGTTGCAATCTAATTACAGTTTAGTACTTTGAGTGCCTAAGTTTCGGGGCGCCGGTTTCATATCTACCACACATTTGGATAGTGTAAGTTTAACAGTATTATTCAACATTTTTACTAGTATATTACATTTTGAATTTCTTATGTATATTTGGGAGCCAGTTGGAGGTAATATTTAAGGTGCAGTAAAAAAAACAAGCCGAGTTGAGAAAACCATAATGTTTTATTAAAAGCGGTGGGTAAAAAGGTATCTATCAAAAGTTCACTTATCAAATTTTGTTTATATACAATTGCGTCCCAGAACGAGGAAGTATCACTGAGTTTGTTCAAACTAGACTTAGTAAGTGCGTAATACAATTTCCTTGCTATGAAGTAGTGTTCAAATGCAACTTTTGTCACGGGTGCCTTTTGTAATACCGCTGACTAAGGACTTCTGTTAAGTCCTTTACTTAGAATGACTTTTACTTCCTCGTTTGTCAATACAAAAGGCATGTTAAATTGAACTATTTCCAAATGATTCTCAGTTTCAGTGAGTCGTTCACGTATCAATATTGTCACTTATTCACAGTCTGTACCGAATGCTTCGACGATTCCGATGCATTTACTTGTAATCTCTATATATTACTTCTCCAAACTGTTTCTTATACTTCATAACTTCTTAAATTCTTCATATAATTTAATGATTCAGAAACTATCTAAATGATATGTTTAATTTTATTGGTAAGTAAGGATAAAGTTTGTAATAACTGCTAGACAATTGTAGTTGTAATAACTACTAGACAAGTTAGTAAAAACTACTAGATAAGGTAAGTAACAAATAATTTAGAATATTACAATTATGGATTAACAAGTATGTTTTCAGTCCAATTATATCTAAAAATTATTGCTAGAAAACATTAATATTATGTATTTTTCATCAGATATAGATCACGACTCAAGTTTTTCTTTAATGAATGTATAACGTCGACTTTCGCTGCAGATTCGAAAGATTGTTACAGGAGCGATTACGTATAGGCGTGAATAATTGCGGATTCAATAGAGATTAATCGGATCTAAAAATATAAATTGTACCAATTAAGATGGTACGGGTAAAATAACCGTTAAGTGTGCATAATTATATGTATATTAATTAATATATTTAATATGTTTGTGTTTTGAAATACTAAATAATGGTTATGTTGATTATCCATATTGACCCGGTTTCGTACTATTGTTGCATCATAACAAGCTTTTCATTCGAGAGGGAGTCGGAAAGAAACAGTAGTTTATGAGCTTAATTTATCTATAGCTAGTTTGTCAGTAATGGAACTGAATGAGACTTAAATTTCATATAAATAGTACGAAACTTAAAACGAAAGCTTAAATTAAAATTCATGATTTAAATTTTATATTTTTCGGAGAAGACGATAATTCTATTCTTCGATTAGGAATCGTATAAACAGCATATTATTAAATTTTGCTATATATTTATATCGCATGCTGACACTTCAATTTTGTTGGTCATATATAGAAAAAGATACCACGAGTGTTATTCATAAAAAGAAAAAAAAAAAAACATTCATTGTATTAATCAGTTAATGCATTCCATGACATTATTTCTTGCTATCTAAAGAAATCGTATCAAGTTGGTACACGGCGAATGAAAAACGAGTGATTCCGATTCCGTTGCATTGGAAATCTGATGAAAACGATCGCAGTGGCGTGATTCAACAGTGTGATGAAATCATAACGTGCTCGTGTTAACTTTTTTTTTAAATCGCATGTCGCCAGTAACTCTGTAATAGATGAATTATTCGTCTCTCTGTTTTCGGATTTTGCTCGAGCACAACAGGAAATTTGAAATTGCGAACCGTAAATAATCGACAGAAATCTGATGGACCCACTGTATATAAACGGTTACGCTAATGTTATTTTCTTTCTTGATTCTTTCTTAATTACAACATGGTAAATGTTTCTTAAACGTAACTTTGAAAGTTACACATAAACCGTTTTCTAATGATGATGATATGATAATACGGGTAAGTCAAACGTTAGATGGACCTTTTATTTTTTTTAATCGTTAGTGGAACTAAATCATTATTAAAAATAACAATAACCGTTATTAATATTTTCTTAGTTTTAATTTTAATGTTTTACCTATTCACTGCGCGGTCACAACAAAAAGATAAATAAATTATTATATAAAATACAAAACAGTGCAATAATTAATGTATAAAATAAATAATAATATTTTGTGAATAAAACGGATTATTTAATTTTAAATGTGATACTTAAAGTAATAGCAAGCAAAAATAAACTTGAAAAATGTTTTCAGATAATAATTAAATTATAAATTAAACTCAATATCGTTTTCATTACAATTATAATAACCACTTGGTGTTTTGGCCTTGTTTATTGTAAAAAAAAAGGTGTGAACTGTACTTTATTTACTTTAAAGTAGAATTCACTATTGAAATAAGTTTTGTGACTGCGAACAGTAACGGTAATGGCGGTTTTTGTTTTGAGGTAAATGGATTTTAATCTTTTCAAGCCAGAGTTTTGCACAATCGTATATAAAATATACATGTCTTTACGTAGAGATTTAAAAATGCAAAGGCAATATTGTGTATAAATGTATAGCGCCTGGGCTAGCACGATACACAAGACGTGGTAAAATAGTATTTTTTTTACGTTTGGTGACACATTTTTTAATTAGTTGCCTTTCATTCATCATATTGATTTAATCTATATTTCATAATCATCATCATTATTTCAGCCCACTCTAGGTCACTGCGGAACATGGCCTATCTTTTTCCCCACAGACTGTCACGAAGCACGATCCTGAGCCACCTGTATCCATCAAATTTCTGCACACAGGTCTTCACTCCACCTAGTTCGTCCTACCCTCGATAAAATCTCACTTTGCGTATATTTAATTTTGTATTCAGCCCTAGCTTCAAAACTCTTAAATATAACTGACACAGCTGCCAAATAACATGAGTACAAAAAAGCTTTCTAAATATTTATTAAAGTGTGACTGCACTCTTCTTTAAATTAATTTCTGACTCAACCTACTTTTGAAATATCCGATACACAGTGGACTCCCATAACAAAAGCAATCCTTTATATTTTGTTGTGATGTTCTTGTTAAATGATACCCACAGTACGTAACGAATAACAGACATTAATCGTATTATGTGTGTACAATTTTTCATTTTTTATTATTTTATAAACTAGCGTTCAAATACAATGAATTATGCATTAATTCCGCGAACCGTATTTCGAGGAGCCTGCTATCGTGGGAATGTACAATATTAAACAATTGCCACATATACCGGCTTTTTAATGCACACGGCCGCTGGCTCAGTTCAATTAAAAAGCAAAAGTGAAAATTCGTGGCCGCAGCAATATGTGACCTCGTATATTGACCTGCATTCGAAGCACCAGCGAAGGGTTCCGTACCACTATCTGTAAAAACAGCAAAAAAAATCATATCTAGTATATGGGAGCCCCATTAAACATTTTTTTATTTTATTCTGATCTTTAGTATCTGTTGTTATAGCGGTAATAGATATACATCATCTGTGAAAATTGCAACTGTCTTACTATCACGGTTCATGAGATACAGCCTGGTGACAGACGGACAGACAGACAGACAAACAGACAGACAAAGACAGATAGCGGAGTCTTAGTAATAGGGTCCCGTTTTAATTTTTGGATACGGAACCCAAAAAATACGTTATTAAGCTTGTGTAATCAATAGTGTGCATAAGGTAATTTTTAGACTGTGACATCGCAAAAACCAATACTAATTTTTATGGCGATATATTTATTTTATTTTTTAAACATATCCTTCTATTAAGAAGACTTATGATAGAAACTTTCCTTAGTCATGCTTATAATGACTTCTACACTCTAAAGTCTAGAAACATTTAATACTTTAATGAATTGTAACGTAATTGACAATAATTGAAATGTTGATTTTAGTTACCTAATATAAACGAACATGACAAGATTTAATACATTGATAGCCTCAAGGCGTATTTGTGTAGTTTATTGGATATTTATCATTCAATAAAGCGCCAGTCTTACAGCACAATTTTACAGAAATTAATTATGTTTTCACAGTTTACGCCATAGCAATTTCCGTTCTAGGAAACATTTGCTGCGTTGCTCCAGTAATGTAACAGGCATGAATAATCACGGACACAGTCGGAAGAACTGTTTACATAGTATTTGTATGGTACTAAATTTTTGCCTGCAATCTAATAAATGTGCTTTTTTTAATCATAAATAAATTATAGAATTAGTAATTAAAATCACAAAACACTAATTTAAATCGCAAAAGACCTATTTTATTTCCGATTTAAACCACTAAACAATAATTTTGAGTAATATTTTTTTCAATTATATTTCATAAAATTTTAATTACATAATGCGCGGCAAAATATTATCAAAATAGTTTGTTTTATAAAAATCAAATAATATGTAATAGTCAAATAATAATAAAATTTCGTTATTAACGTCAGCAACGTCAATAACAAAATACGTGACTACGTAATTTGAAACTATCCAAAATTGTCCAACGTGCCTTTAGAAGTTTTCTCTTTAAATTTGTTTTCCCGTACGAAGAATTTAGTAGAAAAGCACAGATTAGTTTATAAAAACATTCCCTGTGTCCCCACACCCACTACCCGACCAGGCAAAGGAAATTATTAGCAGAAACCATCGCCACATACCAGTACTATCGGATAAGAATTTTAAAAACATTTCTGGTTGTTAATAATAATAAACAAAAAAAGTAAATTACAATATATTAAAAAAAAATCCAATATAATAATAATAAACAATTTTACAGATCTTATTCAGAATTTCAACTGTTATCTCAATCACGAAGCACTTTTAATCGCCGTAAATTGTTCGTAGCAGGTGTCTTTATATTTCTCACAACCGCCACATTGAGTTGCTTTTCTATTTCGTCTGGCTAATCCAATAATCATCGAAATGCGTTTGAATTCAATAATAGCGTACCTAACTATAGGTTTTATAAACTTGCACGATTCGTTGTGTATGTCTCAATAAATT